TGCTTTGCATGGAAAAAGTGCAGGTTTAAATTACAAAATATAGGAACCCAGGTAATAATCATTAATTAATTGTATGACTCAATGTAGGATCAATCTGACTGCGTGTATTCAGGAGAACTTAAAAATTTACACTTCACTGATTTTTCAATCCACCTGGGCTCCATTCGCTCATCACTTTTTTCTTCATCTGCATCTGTGGCACAGTAGTGTAAAATGGCTGATATGTACTGTATTTGAAGCCTAGCCCTGCATGGAAAGCTTTTCTCATCTCTCTGGACTGTCCATTCTCCTAATGGGTTGATGAGTCTTCTTGCAGAACCTATGTTTGTGAAAGGTGGTACAGGAAGTCACTCAATCTTACTAAGTGACAGTGATTTTCACTACCAGGCGTGCATCTTGTTGTTAATGACATCTCTTGAGAAAATCCCTTATGGGCTGCAAAAAAAAGTCCACAGACAATGTGTTTCATTTAGTCTAGGTATCTGCACATTTCTATCTAGGCTAGACAAATCCCGGGAAGCAAGTAGCCAGTACACCAAAATATTCAAGACAATTTAGAGCTGCTGCAATAGTAAAAGCTGTAGATGCAAAAAAAAACTGCTTGCCAGATCTTAAAGCCCAACTCCAGGCACAACCAAAAGAATAACCATGCAGTGCCCCCCCTCCCTTCCTGCACTGTAAGGTTTAAATGCTCATTAGGTCTAGGGATAGTGGAATAAGGTGTAATACTTACCATATTAATGACTAAGGCAGGCTTCCCATATCCATGTGAAAAGTCCTCCTAAAGCCTCTTCGCTAAGGTACTGCTTGTCGTGGTTGCAAGTCTACTTCCTCCATGTACAATGCAGGGCTAAAAGCCCTGCATTGTAAGTGATGGCGCTGAGAGACCACCCACAATGCCAGAAGGAGAAGAAGCGAACACTGGAGCTTGCCGGAACAAGGGTAAAACAAGTAATACAAAATTTACAAGGAGAAATGGAGAGTGCTGGAGCCTGTCAGAGCTGGGGTAAGACAAGCAATACAAGTTTTACAAGTAGAAGAGGGTGCTGGGAGTGGGGGTAAGACAAGTAATATAGCCTCCTCCATTACCCTGAGCCTTAAAGTACAACTATAAGCAAAACTTTTTTCCATTTTGGATAGAGTAGGGGAGGGTTATAACCCTTGTCAGTTTGTTTTACCATTCATGTCCCATTGGAGAGAATTTCCATAGGGGTGTATGGACTGACAGACGGACCTGATTGGACCCTTCTTGTGAAAGGGGCCTTATAAACTACACAGCATGAGTTATTTAATTGCTTATTTATTACAGGTACTTGTATAGCACCATCAATATACGCAGCACTTTACATACAGTATATTGTACATTCACATCAGTCCCTTACCCTCAAGGGGTGTACAGTCTAAGATCCCATACATACACATATTAAGGCCAATTTAGACAGGAGCTAATTAACCTATCAGTATGTCTTTGGAGTGTGGGAGGAGGTCGGAGTGCCCAGAAGAAACCCATCCAGGCACAGGGAGAACATGAACACTCCAGGCAGGTAGTATCATGGTTGGGATTTGAACCGACGACCCTATTGTTGCCAGGTGGAAGTACTGACCATTTAGCCACTGTGCTGCCCTCCACCAGTTTGAATATTCCCAGTACAAACTGCATACTATTGAACCTTTTGCAGTGATGAATGAAATACTGGAATTACACAAAGTTCCTTGAGTTGAATCATTTTTGTCATAGATTACCTTTAGTACAGTGCTTACAATGGGTACAATGGGCAACTACTGAAAACTTTCTAGCAAGGCAAGCTAAAGAGGAGATTTTCTCAAGATTTTGCCCCAGCTGTACAAGCACTAACTACATACTGTCACATTTGTTAAAACTGCTGCTGAGTTTTTTGTTTGTTAGACTGAAAGGGCCCCTGATATTTGAACTTGTTTCACCTCTAATTTCTGTCCACATCTCACCTTTCATCGACCAGCCAGCTACAGTATATAGATTATGTGCTCTTAAGCAAAACAAATATACAGTATTTATTTTCTGGTTGAGACCAACAGTCCAACAAGCTAAACACCGGAACTTAGACAAAATCTATCCGTGCAGTGGAACCCCCACTTCTCATTTAGTCTAGGGGTGTCAGAATATGGAGAAATACTTATCCTATTCCCAGATATAGCATGCTCTTTACATCCATGCAACCAGTCCAGGGCTGCCACCTTTCTAAGGTGCTCTAAGCCCCAGTTGCAAGCCACTTCCTCACATACAATGAAGGTTTAATAGTCCTGCACTGCATGTGATGACACCAAATGATCACCCTTAGCCTAGAGCTTCGGACAGACGAGAACAGTGAGAGATAGTGTAAGTCAAGGGTACTCAACCTTTTGAAGAGCGCGGGCCACTTAAATGATTTGGCAACTGGTAGCAGGCCACAAAGAAATAAAATGGTTCTGAATTTTGATTTTTTGATTTTTATTTTAAATAGCATAATGAAGATTTTAAACAACAATCAGGATCATAAATTTCTGTCAGACCAATCCCCATTGAATGTTTACAAACTGTTTAATCACAAAAATCAAATTTTTTTATTAACCAGATCACCATTAATCCCACACTGGCGTGACCAGCAAAAATTAGTTCTGAACCAGAGGAGCCAGCCGCAATAGAGGCTTGTGTATGACAGCCGCCAAAATTATGGAGGACCAGCAATCATTCAGTATAGCAGCGTGTACCCTGTGAAGGCTGTGTGGGTTACCATAGATTTAGGGTTGTGGGCCACGGTGGAGCAGGCCTGGGGTAAGTGATACACCTTATCCTTTCACCCCTAGGCTACATAAGCATTTAACTTTTGGGGACCCCACTGCAAGTGGAAAATGTGTCTTCCCAGAATTCACCTTTATGCATATGATTGAAAACATACTATACAACCAGATCATTCCTGCAAACCCAACATCCACACTCATATGTATTATTTTTTAAGACGTGTGAACATGATACAGTACCAGCACATAGCAAATTTACATTTTCTTTGTATTTAAAAACATGACACACACAAAGGGTCCAAAAAAATGGTTAAACTACATCAGCAGTCCACATTAATATCTAAGCAGTATTCTATTTATTCTGGTAAATGTAATATGCTATCACAGGAATAACAAAATTGTTGAAAAAGCTCTGTAGGCCTCCTAGAATCCGGCTTCTAACCTGCTTTCATCTGAGTATGTACTGTATTTGCATTGATATAAAAGGCAAAATCCACAGTGAAGCTCAGAATACATTACATAGGTCTTCTCTCCCTAGAATAGAACGAGGCAATACTACTGCATAATAACGTATCCCTACAGTACTTGTGCAGCTGCAGGTTGTGCTGAACATGTCAGCCCTAGTTATTCAAAGCTCAGGTTCTTTCTATGCAACTCCGATTTGATCTCCGCATTGTTTACTACGTTTAGCACAGCTTATTAGAATCACTTGCGCAAGCTCACCTTTGGTGCCTTTTTAGCTCGCAAATTTTAACGAGATAGGGTGAAAGTAAATTGCAGTGGGAAATCCAGCAGCACAATATACCGGTGATCAATCATTCGGATAAGTCACTGACCCCTCGCTCGCCAGTGTAGCTGCACATCACTACAATAGGGAACCTGCGCTGTCACTGTCACTGCTGCCACGGGTCTTCTACACATAATGTACTCATCTAGCACAGATGAATTGTGCTGGAGCTCTGCAACATATAAGGTGATTGTAAAATACCATACCCCTTCTGACTGAGGAATGGTGTGTGTATATTAGGAAACACATTCTCCCGTGAAAGACTTAAGATGGAAAACAGACAGCGGTGTACGATCAGCACGCACTGACCCATGTGCCATTAAAAATAATATAGATGGCAGCTTTAGGGAAGCCCTTAATAATCCTGACATCCTTATTTGGACTACACAAAAGAAACACTTTAAATCACTTAAATTACCTCTGCCTCTGATCCTTACTAGGAAGGGACTAGGAACCAGATGTAACTAAGAGCATTAAGCAGGTGCAGACATTGTCACATTCAAAATATGGTTTAGAATAGATGCAATGTACTATAGATGAAAGTCGGCTAGCAAGTAGAGATGATGGAAAGAAACCATGGTGCCTATAGACATCTATTGATCTCATTGTCACCCAGCCAAGGAGTTCACTCACCCCCTATGTCATGGTCTCCCAAAATACTCCAAACTGGCAGGGGAACATCATGGGCTCAGGAAGCTGCAGGACTGCTTACCGTTGCAAGCCTCTGTGCGTATCACGTGTCCTCCTCTACACGTTGCCATAGAGATTCAACATAGATACAATGTATTCATGCAGCAGAAGAGAACCCAGGTTCAATGGAAGCGCACGGCTCACGCAGACTAGGACAGGAAACACAGGAAGCGGTGACCTGCACCTACTAAGCTCACAATCATTCTACATGTCAGGGTCACCTGCACTCTGGGGCAGTGCAAACCCATAGGGCTGACCTTCATGTAACGGGGGGGGGACAAACTGGTGCAACTTCAAACACCTCCGCTTTTCAGATCAATCATATACCAACACATTCAAATACATAGAGACCCAATCACTAAAATCTCATAGATACTTTAAAGCTGAACTCCGGGGGAAAACATAAATCCTCCCCTGCAGTTGGGCTATTGTTTCACTAAGAGTGAAATGCTTGTATATGTCTAGAGTAGTGCTTCCCAACCTCAGTCCTCAAGGACCCCAATAGATCACGTTTTAAATCAATGCCAATGGCTTGGTATTTGTGAGAGCTCTTTTATCTAAGGGAAATTCCCAAAACATGGCTTGCTGGGAGTACTTGAGGAATGGGGGGAAGGGGGAAACACTGGTCTAGGTCAGCCTTTCTCAACCAGGGTGCCCAGGCACCCTGGGGTGTCTTGAGGTTTCTTTAGGGGTGCCTTGGAAAAAGGTCTAAATAATTCCCAAAACTTGTATACAAGCCAGCAAGTGAAACGAGCCCTACACAAAGCCACAGGTTTTCATTGTGCACCATTACGATCTTCTAGTTGCCAGTGTCCTGACAACCAATGACATCATCAGTTGATAAGAAGGATGTCAGGTGCCTACATAGCATTCTAGTTTGACCCTCCCATGCTCCTCTCCATCAGTTCTGGGGTCACATTATCTCAGTGATGGAGAAAAACTGAGGGAGAAGAGAAACACTGGAATACTAGTCAGTACCAGTGTGCAAAAGTGTATTTGCTTTGGAAGAATAAATCACCTCTAATGCTGAATGTCCTACATGTGTGCATGTTGCTGCGTTATAGAAAACTATTAGAATAGTTTTTCATGTTTTAGAATGGAGTGCCTTTTTAAAATTATGGACAGTCTTGAGGCACCCCATTTTAGAATGGGGTGCCTCAAGACTGTCCATAAATTTAAAGGATGCCTCGGGACTGCCCATAATTTTAAAGGGTGTCTCGGGACTGTCCATAAATTTAAAGGGTGCCTCAGGACTGTCCATAATTTTAAAGGGTGCCTCGGGGCTGTCCATAAATTTAAAGGGTGCCTCGGGACTGTCCATAATTTTAAAGGGTGCCTCGGGGCTGTCCATAAATTTAAAGGGTGCCTCGGGACTGTCCATAATTTTAAAGGGTGCCTCAGGACTGTCCATAATTTTAAAGGGTGCCTTGACTGAAAAAAGGTTAAGAAACACTGGTCTAGGTTACTGGAAAAAACACTTTTACTTACCTGATCTCCCAGTCCAAGGAGGCTCCCTCCATGCTGCTAGACCAGTCCCTCCAGCCTTTTCTCCTCAATGCATTGGTGGATGCAGGTCCTCTGATGTCATCAAGTACAATGCAGGACCCATAGCCTTTAAATGGACAAGAGCACCCCAAGGGACAGTCTACCGCTGGAGCATAGGGGAGTAGAGGAGAGTGCTGGCTGCTGTGGGAAAGCGGAATCAGGTATATAAAAATTTTTCCAGTCCTCTAGACCTAAATGAGAACGTAACTTTTGCATTGTGGCAGCAGCTCTACTACAAGGGAGGATTTTTCCTTTTCTCAGACATAGGCTTTACCATGCCAATTTCATTAAAAAAATTCTGCACCTTTATAGCTGCAGCTGAAAATACCTATCACTTTTTTGAAAATAAGTATCCTTATACTGGTGTGTTAGCTCTCGGAATTGTACTTATTGCAATCCTATTGCGATCCTGCTTTGGATCATGGTCATTGTTCAGGCACTTCCTGTTATAGGGTGACAACTATCTTCCAATAGTGCTCCTATGTTGTCACCCTGTCACATGTGCCCCTGGTGTAGACTCCAAGTGGCTGCACTGATGCAAATTACACAAGTATAGAGAACCATTGTCGTTCCAGTGTGATAATATACGACCAATGCTGGACCAAGTGCATGGTGACCAAAAGCAGCCAAAAGAAGCTGGATGACATCAGAGTGCAAGCTCTCATGACCAGGGCCCTCCTATATTGCACTGCATTGTAACTGCACTGTCTCGCTTTATTTTGCAAATCACTGCGCAAACTGTTGGTGCTATATAAATCCTGCATTATAAGAATAATGATGATAACAATAATAATAGTATTCAGCTGAAATGAGATGCAAAAGGGTGGAAAAAAGGTGAAAACAGTATTTTAAGAGGAAAAAAGTGTAACTGTTTATGATAAACACTGTTTTGGGGAAATAACTGTCATCTAGAAAGGCTTTAGATGTATTATGATTTTTGGTTTAGATGTAGAAGGAAAATAAGGAATATGGTGATAGTCATAGAATAAATAAATACTATAATAATTTGAATGCTAATAATAACAATGATCATGATAATAATATTAAATAAAAAAATAAACATTTTAGTAAAAAGAATAATACATATGATGCTAATAGTTACATTATTATTACTATTATTATTATTATTATTATTATTAATAATAAAAATAATAATAGTAATAATAACTAGAATAAAAATAAAGCAAATAATGATGATGATGAAAAAATATAATAATAATAACTAATAATTTGAAAGCGAATAATGATGGTGATGAAAACTATAATTATAAAAATATGAATAAAAAGAATAATGCAAATGATGATGGTAATAATAATAATCATAATAATAACTATAACTATAATATTTGAATGCTAATAATGATGCTAATAAAAATAATAATAAAATAATGATGGTAGTAAAAATAATAATAACTATAAGAATTTGAATGCTAATAAAGATGCTAATAATAATCAAAACTAAAAATATTAACAAAAAGAATAGTACAAACAAATGATGATGTAATAATATTAATAATCTATTGGTAGTACTGTAATAAGTTCTGGGGAAAACATCCCCAGGTCCCTGTAGTTTGACAGAACACAATCCCAGTTGCAGTAATAGAATAATTCCCAGTATGATTTTCTTTCTCCTGAGATGTACACTGGTTAAACTGGAATGTGTGGATAAAGCAGTGGATGCTCTGTACAGCCCAATAGAGCAAGCTCAGGTCCTCTTTATACAGATGGCCGGGCCAATCACACTACAAAGTAGGATCGCTGTCAGATGAAGAACTCCCAGGACCGATTCGATGACAGCGACCCCCCATCAGCTCACCGATCGCCGTCTCTCCTGCTCTCTAGGATGAACATGTTGTCTCTGTAAATCCGATCTTTTGTCCCCCACTGAGCAGACAGCAGCTTGCCATCTAAAGGGAACACTAATACCATCCATGATCGCACTCACCAGTTTGCTGTGCCGCGGAATGGATGCCGGGTGACAGCCCAGGCAGAAGGATTGGTGTGGTCAGATCCTGCGATCCTCCTGACATCGGCCGTCCATCATGTTCCTCCATGGACCCGGTCGGCTCACATGCTCGGAGCTCCGCTCTGCTCCTCCGGCTGGCTGCCTCCTCCTCCTCCTCTCCGGTCCTGCGCCGCGCTGAGGTTGGAGAAGATCTCCAGTCCCTGACATCTCAGCAGCGGGATCCGCCTCTGTCACTCTCTCCATCGCAGAGCCCAAGGAGGCTCCGCCCCTGGTCACTTCTCGCCCTGTGGTTGGTCCTCTGGGTCATTTACACAGCGGGGGCGGAGTGCAGGGACATCTCTTCACACCTGTCACTGGGGAATGCATACAAATCACATGCTGCCTTCACTTCAAGGTGGAAAGGAAAACATTACAAGCAGGTAGGAGCTACAAATTAAAGTGGAAGGTGAGGAAAACCTAACTAAGCGAAATCTGCTCCCACCCCCATTCTAAGCCTATTCTATCTATCCTGTAAAAGGAAAGAAGTCTGTACTTGCCTATTCTGAGGGCTCTGGTCACATGATCTCTCCAGCACAGGCTTCAGTGAAGAGGAGAGATGGCCATAAGTGACTGCAGAGACTGAGTGATGACATCACCCATAGGGTTACTATGGGGCATCCATTGCCAGTCGCCCCTCTTCTACACTGGGAGTTGATCATGTGACAGGACCAGAGTGGCTTCAGGATAGGTAACCACTTGCCCTCCAGAGGATTTACTCCCCTTCCCGGCCAGGCCATTTTTGGTGATACGGCACAGCATTACTTTAACTGAGCACGGTCATGCAATGCTCTACATAAACTAAATGTATATCCTTTTTTCCCACAAATTATTGATTATTTCTTACAGGTACTTATGTAGCACTGTCAATTTACGCAGCGCTTTACATATATATTGTACATTCAGTTCCAAACCCTCAAGGGGCGTACAATCTAAGGTCCCTAACTTACATTCATACATACACATACTAGAGCCATTTTAGACAGGAACCAATTCACCTACCAGCATGTCTTTGGAGTGTGGGAGGAAACCGAAGTACCCGGAGGAAACCCACGCAGGCACAGGGAGAACATGCAAACACCAGGCTGGTGGTGCCGTGATTGGGATTTGAACCAACAACCCTAGTACTGCCAGGCAGACATACTATGGTATTTGGTATTTGTGGTATTCTTTTGTGCTACAAACAAAAAAAGACTGACAATTTTGAAAGAAAAACAATATTTTTGACTTCTTGCTATAAAACACATCAAATATATAAAAAAATTTAAAAATCAAATTTCATCATAAATATAGGCCAAAATGTATTCTGACACGTCTTTGCTAAAACAAAATCCCAATACGTGTAAATTAATTGGTTTACGTGAAAGTTATAGCATCTACAAATGGCGGTATATATACTGGCATTTTTATTTTATTTTTTTTTATATTAGTAATCGCGGCAATCAGTGACTTATAGTGGGACTGCAGCGGACTATCTGACACTGGGTGGGAACTAACTGCCACTGACATCCCCAGTGACACTAACACAGTGATCAGTGTTAATAAAAAGCTCTGACACTGTACTAATGACACTGGGCAGGAAGGGGTTAACATCTGGGGTGATCAAAGGGTTAACTGCATGTGTTTTACATTATGTGCTGTGTGTGTTTTACTATGGAGACATGCTGCTTTTTATTTCTCTGCTGTTCTTGCTGACAGGAGAGAGACCTGTGTTGTTTACACACAGGTCTCTCCCATATCAGCTTTACCCGACGATCACCGAGTGCCGGCCAGGAACCGCCAGCCGGGACCCAGTGATTGACATTTCTAGCTGTCAATAGTAGTGTGGGTAGGGCAGCGCATGCCCTCTACCCCCCTACCTGGAAATGCAATTCACATATATATACAGTCATGGCCGAAATTGTTGGCACCCTTGATATTTTTCCTGAAAATCAAGTATTTCACACAAAAAAGGTATTGCATTAACACATGTTTTGCTATACACATGTTTATTCCCTTTGTATGTATTGGAACAAATATAAAACAGAGGCAGAAAAGCAAATATGACATAATGTCACACAAAACCCCAAAAATGGGCTGGACAAAAGTATTGGCACCCTTAACTTAACATTTGGTTGCACACCCTTTGGAAAACATAACTGAAATCAGTCGCTTCCTATAACCATCAATAAGCTTCTGACACCTCTCACCCGGAATTTTGGACCACTCTTCCTTTGCAAACAGCTCCAGGTCTCTCTTATTGGAAGGACACCTTTTCCCAACAGCAATTTTAAGATCTCTCCACAGGTGTTCAATGGGATTTAGATCTGGGCTCATTGCTGGCCACTTCAGAACTCTCCAGCGCTTCTTTGTCCATTTCTGAGTGCTTTTTGACGTATGTTTGGGGTCATTGTCCTGCTGGAAGACCCAGGATCTTGGACGCAAACCCAGCTTTCTGACACTGGGCCCTACAGTGCGACCCAAAATCCTTTGGTAATCCTCAGATTTCATGATGCCTTGCACACAGTCAAGGCACCCAGTGCCAGAGGCAGCAAAACAACCCCAAAACATCATTGAACCTCCACCATATTTTACCGTAGGTACTGTGTTTTGTTCTTTGTAGGCCTCATTCCGTTTTCGGTAAACAGTAGAATGATGTGCTTTACCGAAAAGCTCTATCTTGGTCTCATCTGTCCACAAGACGTTTTCCCAGAAGGCTTTTGGCTTACTCAAGTACATTTTGGCAAACTGTAGTCTTGCTTTTTATGTCTCTGTGTCAGCAGTGGGGTCCTCCTGGGTCTCCTGCCATAGCGTTTCATTTCATTTAAATGTCGACGGATAGTTCGATGCGCTGACACTGATGCTCCCTGAGCCTGCAGGACAGCTTGAATGTCTTTGGAACATGTTTGGGGCTGCTTATCCACCATCCGGACTATTCTGCGTTGCAATCTTTCATCAATTTTCCTCATCCTTTCCACGACCAGGGAGATTAGCTACAGTGCCATGGGTTGCAAACTTCTTGATAATGTTGCGCACTGTGGACAAAGGCAAATCTAGTTCTCTGGAGATGGACTTGTAACCTTGAGATTGTTGATATTTTGCCACAATTTTGGTTCTCAGGTCCTCAGACAGTTCTCGTCTCCTCTTTCTGTTGTCCATGCTTAGTGTGGCACAGACAGACACACAATGCAAAGGTTAAGTGAACGTCTCTCCTTTTTATCTGCTTTCAGGTGTGATTTCTATATTGCCCACACCTGTTACTTGCCCCAGGTGAGTTTACAGGAGCATCACATGCTTGTAACATTCTTATTTATCCGCAGTTGTGAAAGGGTGCCAATACTTTTGTCCAGCCCATTTTTGGAGGTTTGTGTGACATTATGTCGAATTTGCTTTCTTTCCTCCCTTTTTTTGTTTTGTCCCAATACACACAAAGGGAATAAACATGTGTATAGCAAAACATGTGTTAATGCAATACGTTTCGTGAGAAATACATGATTTTCAGGAAAAATATCAAGGGTGCCAACAATTTCGGCCATGACTGTATATACTGTATATACACGTGATTTTGCGCAGCCCTGCCACCCTGTAGTAGTACTTCTGCTATAGGGCGGCGGGTAAGGATAGACATTTTTTTCTTTTACAGGGAAGATAGAATAGAAATGCTTAAAGCAGAGCTCCACCAAAAATAGGAAATTTCACTTTAATTAATGGTACCCAATTTTGATAGGTACCCACTTCCGTTGCAAATTTCTAGGCAATCGGAAGTTGTCCTCCCTCCCAGTAATCTTCTGGTACACGTGACAGGTCTCAGAAGTCTACAGGACCATTCACAAGGCGCAGCACAGTGGGCACCCGGCTGTGAAGCCACAAGCTATCACAGCTGGATGCCCACACTTAGGATGCCAGCACCGAGGAGCGAGGATGGCTGTGGAAACCAGATGCAGTGAGGACACTGCTGGATTGTGGGACAGATGAGTGGCTGTTTTTTAAAAGTCAGCAGCTACAGTTTTTGTAGCTGCTGACTTTAATTTTTTTTAGGTTTGACTGGAGCTCCGCTTTAAGCTGAGACACTATAAAAAAAATCAGAAGAAAAATTCCATACGAGGAACTACCAGACGATTATCTGATCATTAGTATAGTGCTTGCAACAGCCAATACCAACTGTTTGGACAAAAAGAAAAAAAAAGGTGCAGGCTAGAAAATGTTTATGGCACATGACGACAATGTCCGATTTTCACTTAGTGTGTACATTAAACGCACATAAATAATTGCCTGGAAAAAAATGCACATGATCAGAAGCAAAGAATGCCTCGGAAGAAGGTGGCAACAAACATAAAAATAGTACACAAGACAGAACGTTTGCCATTGTCGTTCAAGAATTTTCATACGTGTTAATACCGTTGTCAGTTATCATGGTACACACCTTCGTGGAAAATCGCATGATAGTTTGTCTAATTTTCTCATAGTGTGTACCCCACTTTAGAATGAGGGTTAGAGTAGATATAAAGCCCATCTCCAGGCAAAAAAAAAATTTCCCCATGCAGTGGGGCTGTGGCCACGCTGCATGGATCAATAGCTCATTTTGCCTAGGGGTGAGGAGAAAACTTATACTCACCCGATCTTTCATTCACCAAAAAATGGCATGTCCCATTGTGGAGGTTTCCCTTCATTTCCTGTCCCATTGCCAAAACAGGAAGTGATTGAATCGCTGGTTGTTACTAAAACCCTCATTGAAGAATTTCCCCAATAATTCCTTTTTTTCTGACAACCCAAATTTTGGGATTTTCTTTTACTCTCACTTTCACTGATAAACAGGGCAAATAGAGAGAGTGAATTCCCCTAACAGGGACATAGACAGCAATATAAACACGACAGGTGTTCTAATTTGTCAAAAAAGTTTTGCCTTCAGGTATACTGTACTGAAAAAGACAAAAGATTACATGAAAGCATTAATAATGTAGTATTATACGATCAGCTTTTTTAGGCTAATAAATTGGGCGCAATTAAAAAAAATCCTCAGTAAACTATTTGGTAAAATAATTAACCCTAAAACTCATTGTTCATAATTTTCAGTACTATTAGATTCTGCCCTCTCAGTGCTGCTTCCCTGAACATCTGGTCTTTACAGGAAAGAAGTAACAGTGGACAATGCAGCCTCCAGCTAGTCTGTTAGCTTGGAAAAGGGAGGGGGGAGGAATAGAAGCCACCATAGCAGGGACGCAACTATAGGGGTTGCAGGAGTCGCAATTGCAACCTGGCCCCATGCTCCAGGGGACCTGTGTGGCTGGCTCCTCTGTACACCTGGAAAGAAGGGGAGGAGGGGGCAGAATGTAGAGGAACCAATGCCCTCCATTTTCCTCCTGTAGCAGCTGAAAGCCAGCTTCTCCTTTTCTCTTTCCTGCAGACATTCAGCAGCTGCAGAAGGAAAATGGAGAGGATCGGTTCCTCTAAATGCCACCCCTCCTATACAGGTCCTGCTGCCCCTGGCCCTCTGTGTACTTTCCTGGCCCCCCCTTGTTCTCCGCAGCTCTGCCAGCTTCCCCCCCCCCCTCTCTCACCCCACCCACCCCAGGCTGCTGCAGGGGAGGCTTTCAGGATGGAGAGCAGGGAAGAGGCAGGTAAATATGTCATATGTCTCAATCTCATCTCTCTGTCTCAAAGGTAAAATCTGGTAAGATCTGTTTAGACCCCTAAAATTTCACAAAATAAAAAAACTACTGACACCAGTGGCGGAACTGCCAGGGTAAAAAAAATTGCGTTTTTGAAGTGGGCCCTTCATAGTTTTCTGCATTGGGCCCTGAAGGTTCTAGCAGGGGTGGACTGACAACTCATGGGGCCCCCGGGCAATAGGGGATCATGGGGCCCCGTGTCCTTGCCCGCACTCAAAAAAGCCTATAAAAAAGGTACCAGGGGCATTTCATGGGCCCCCCTACTGACCGCGGGCCCTCGAGCAGTGCCCAAGTGCTCGAATAGTCAGTCCGCCCCTGGGTTCTAGGTTCTAGTTATGCCTCTGTATCCTAGGCTACGGGGCTGAGTGTTTCTATTGATGTACACAGTGTAGAAAGACACAACTCCAGTCCCTCCATGGGAGGGTGGCTGTATAGGACTGCAAGAGAAAGGAGCCACCAGAAACTGGAAACCTGGGGCAGAGGTCATAACACCATTTTAAACTAGAACATAGGCAAGGATTAAAATGTGAACAAGCTACATACTCAGTAAGTGATTGCATCAGCTGCCAAAAGTTCCTAAAAAGGCATAAAAAAAAATATATATTAGCCACTAAACTCCAATCAAAACTCCACAAAAGTACAAACGTCCTCTCTCAAGAAATAGCCACGCTGCACTCCACAACTGACCACTCAGATACCAATCACGCTGAACTCAGCCCAGCTTGAACCAAAGGAGAAGAAATCTAGCTGCAGGAAGATACAACAAGAAACTCTACTGTATGCTAGACAAACTTCAATCAAACGCCCCTAGGAAACATCTCACTCCATGCACCTTTAAATGCCTCCTCTACTCCCCCTTTTCATATTCCTTTCTTGCATTCTCAAAACCTCATTTCTTTGTCCCTCTGCTCCACCCAAAAACCTGTACATCTCACCCTCACTGTTTCCTTCTCCCTACGACTGCTCTTATCACCTCCTGCTGATACTTCACTTTCCTGCTGACCCTAACACCAGGACTGGAAGGCATGCATGCTCGTGTACATCCCGCTCACATGCCACCTTCCTCACCCTTCGTCTTCTCCTAACCTCTGGGGATATCTCCCCGAACTCTGGTCCTCCACTACTTCGTCCACATACAAGATATCCTCT